TTATGGGCAAAAGTAACAGCCACATGACAACATGGAAATAATACCCTTAATTTATAATGGGCACTCCTATAAAAGTAAGAAAAGATCAGCACTACTACAGAAAAACAGCAAAGAAAATGGTAATTAGTAGAAAAAGTGAATAAGCTTATATAATACGGTTACCCACAATCGCAGAAATAGAGACACGATGTAACATAGAACGAAAATATAATGGGAACAATTCCAGCTAAGGCCTTAGATGTCCAGGAAGGGGTGGACAGTCCCATCAGTGGAGGAGCAGGCATGGGCACCAGCTCCTTGGGCAACTGTGGGTGCAAGGGAGAGCACTACGTGTGTAGTGCCCGGCATGAATGGTCCCACCCAGGACAACTCAGTAAGTGCCATCTGTCATAGTTACTACTGCTTTGCTCTTTTCTCCATAGAATAAGAAAAGTGTGTGTGCATGTGTGACAGAGGGAGAGAGACAGACAGACACATGTACACTCGGTTGGTATAGACTTTGGAGATAAACATGTATAACAAAAGCCACAAAAAAGTACTTAGCTTCGGTCAGCAATGCCATTTCTACTCTGTCTAGACACATGCACAAGATTCGTGCACAAGGAAAGAAAAAACATAAAAAACTGAAAATAATCTTAATGTTCAACTATTTGGGTATTAGTGGTTGTTTAAATTGTGGCTCACTGTAAGACTACAATAAAACCATTAAAATCATACTTTCGCGGTGTATGGAATGGTTTAGGGAAATGCTGACAACACAGTAAGTAAAAATACATTAGAGTTTGACCCCATTCTATAATACTATACCTGTACATGCACATAGCTTACTAGTACATAAGATCACTGGACTTCATTAACAACAGCCTTCCTACCTAATAGCACAGGAGCAATATTTTCTCCTTTGCAATTTTCAACTATCAAATCATTAACACCAATGACTTTTACAATCAGGAAAAGGTTACCATAAAAACATCCCTTATAACAGCGGCACAGCCTGCAATGCCAACGCAAGCATATGGCTGAATCTGTCCATACACAACCTCTAGGGAGGCCCAGGGCCCTAGATCCTCCTCTTCCTCCCACTGATACTCAGGACATATTACCAGTGGGTTGTTCCTTTGGGGGTGCAATGGATTCACCACTTGGGACGTTCAGGAGGAGGGTCTGTGGGTATGGTTCTGTAAGTGAACAACTAAAGAGGAGGGCCAACATCTGGGTGAATGTGGCTGACTGAACACAGGCCTGACCTCCACCGCCCTGAAAGCACCTACAGGGACAGAGGAGAGTATTTTTTAAATAGATACAAATCCATAGACCACAGACTGCAGAAACTGTTGGACTGCAAAGCAAGTGAGTGAAAGAAACACCCAACTGGGAAGGCTGTGGCCTCCACCTGGGAAACAAGACAGTACTACTCCCAGTAGCTCCCAGACAACAATGTCATCACTGCTTCCAACTAAAGATGTTCACATGTCTACCAGTGAAGCTAAATGTTTGATGCATTACCAACACAAATATAAGTATCTGAAAAACATGAAGACAATATTTCTGTAAATATATATTTACAGAAATATCCCTGCTTATGACTGGAGATACCGAAATGTCACCCCTGATAGAAGGTAGCTAAGATGATGAATTGGCTTACTGGGGTCCCCAGTGTCCTGCCCCTTCTTCCTGAGTGCACCTAATTCCTGTCAAAGTCACTGCTGTCCTGGTCCCCTGTTCCCTCTGAATGAGAGTGAGCATCACTCCTGCATGCACTCTGGCTCTGTTGCTGCATGTCCCCAGTACCCATTCCCTTGGATATATTCCCAAAGGAATTCTGACCTTAGCTATGAGACCTGCGTTAGCCAGTGGGGCAGTAACATCCTAGACTGAAAACACACTTGTTTTTTTGCTGAGCTTGGAACTCTGAAACAAGCAAATAATCCCCTGGCCCCTAACAGCCTGCCAAACATCAGACCAGAGAGTGAGGCAATTATAGGTCACCCAGCTGCTGCAGGTACAGAGAGAAATCCCAGACCTGAAGAATAGCTTAAACAACCCTCAACATACAATATGACCTCTGTGGTTAGTGCTATATTTGAGGTCATTTGCTACACAGCAAAACTTAACTGAGACACTCCTACAATACAGTCCTTGCAGTTCTATAAAAAGATAAGCATCACCACACAAGCAGGAGAGACTTAGTGAGGCTTAGATGCTAAAATCATTTCCCCTTTGCATGAAATGAATATTTAAATTATTGATCCCAATCTAAAGATGTAATAAATTCCAATTTTAGATACTTGGAAATAAAAACATACAAACATGTGATTATATCATTATACTTAGAAATAGCCGCTGACAACCACAAATGCACTCATCAGTGAGTGGCCACTGTGAGAAGAGCTCCAAGGCCTCTCAAACTGTGGGACTGGCTTGCATCAGGAAAGAGGGACATAAGCCAATGGGAAGGGAAAATAATTCATTCCAGGGAAACCCCAAAGCTGTATCAGGAAGGGCACGTGGTCCCTGTGTGCCAAGTGTGAACAATACGCACACACGGTGACACAGGAAGGGAGATTCTAAGTAGGTCTTTAAGCAGAGTGAAGTCTAAGTATACTAGTAAGTGGCCCCCAAGAAGTGGCCATGTGTATGTGTGTGGGGATTGGGACAACAGAACCAGTTCTTCCCTCAAGTGGGAAATCGTTCCCTGGTTTCATTCCTGTAGGGAGAAAGCTGGCTGTCTAAACAGGGAATGCTTGCCTGATGAGGTCTAGGGGCAGGGAGGGGCAGCTTTGTTGGTTAACCCCAGGCTACTTTTTTATTTGAAACACTAGAAACACATATTTCTTTAATAAAATAAAAAGAATTAAAACTACAACAATTCCCAAAGCAGCAAATCTAGAAAACAGTCTTTTAATTAGTGCTATCCCAGTTGATGAAAGTTCACAATTTCTGGGGACAGATATTCTCCATGCCCCAAACTCTGGCTCTTCACACCCTGCCTCAGGTACAGTGCTCACTGGGACCTTGTCCAGGGAAGGAGAGAACTACCATGCAGGATGCAAGCAGGAACGTGGTACCTGAAGTAGCCTGACCTGCAGAGAAACTGTCAAGGTCACTCGCAGTACTGAGCACTGAGAGCTCATTAAAGATCTTCTGTACCCAAAGTTAACAATTCAAGTCATATTTTAAAAAATGATTCCCTTCTTATTTACAAGTTTCTACTCAAATTCACTGATGATTTAACGGCACTAATTAGACTGTGTGCTCAAGAGCTCTGTCTGGCAAACATGACTGCCAAATGTCATTAACCATATGACAGCTTAGGAAGAGGGTTTAAATCATCAAAACAAAAGCCGCTGATGTAATGATACAATTACAAAGTTTAAACAGCTTTTATGATCTCCATTTTAAATGGAAAAATAAATGATTAAAATGCAGACACATGTGACCTTAAGATTCTTCCTGTATGTGGAGAACCAGGCCTGAGCTCTCTTGGTGACAAGGGCTTGAGTAGCGCCCAACAGCCAGCCCTGCCCTGCACAGGTTGGCATGAGCACTCGGGAAGGACACTCTTCTATCTCCATGGCAGGCCAAGTGAGGACAGGAACAAGGTCAGGAAACTAGACTCAGCTCAGTCAGAGGACCAGGCTGCGGGAAGCCAGCTTGCTTTGTGACAGCAGCACCTCCCTCTCAAGGGTCTTGATTCTTGCTGCTCTGATGACCTGACATACACAGAGTTTTTTTATTTCTCAAAATCTCATTTTTTTTTTCTACAAGCTATTAATTCAACAAACTCCTTCATGAGACATGTTTAATGCCAGTTGGCACAAACCATGCGTGCAAGGTAGGACACTAGCACTGTCTGTATTAGTGTATGACGGCAGGAGTATGAGGGGACAATGCAATTCCACAGGTAGCTATTTGAAGTCTTCCGTCAGCCAGTTACAGCTGTGTTGGGCCTGCAAACCCATGTCCACATGGGGAGGCCTGGATATGTAACTGATAGAGATACACAATGAGGGGCCCACCTTTGGGAGCACACGCAGCACTCTGTGTGCTTTGGGGCTGCTAGAGATAAGGACCTGAGGCCTCCTGCCCACAACCACATGTGAACTTGGACATGGATCCTGTGGTCTTGAATGCCAGCTTGACTGCAACCTTGTGAGTGGCCTAAGTCCCAACATCCAGCTAAGCTGCTCTTGGGTTCCCGACCTACAGAAACTAGAAGATAATACATATCTGTTGTTGTAGCTGCTAAGTTGCAGGGTAATATGTTACATAGAAATAAATAACTTACATGACATAGTTTTTTTTGCTTTGTTTTAACATGGCTACTAGAAAATGTAAAATTACCTACATAAGTGTAATGTACCCTGTATATTTCTACTGGGCAATGCTGCTCTTCATGGCTCGAATATCATGAGAGCTTATCAGGACCAGCACATCACACCAGGACTGTCAACTACATTATGATACCTGCACTACGTGTCACTAATACATGTTTCTTTCCTATGTGTTTAATTTTAAAATCTGGGATATGATTAGATACTTGTAGAGAGTAAGCCCTCCCCCAAAAAGGTTTATGTTAATTTTTCTTATTCTATTTAAATATAAGAAAATGTTAACATCTCTTTCCAGTTATAAAAGATCAGTAGGACAAAATGAGAAGAGGTAGACACCACCCAACAGATAACCTGGGTTACTATTCCTACTAGTAATTTTCATATTTCAGGACATGTATTAACAGGTGTAAAGAGATTGGAAGCACTCTCTGTTTTAAGTATATCCAACACTGGGATTTTAGACACTGTTTCCACTATATACTATATCCGCCCTAATTTACTTGGCCAACCCCCTGCTGCTGAAAATACAGGTATCCAGTGATCTGTCGTCTGGACACGGTGAGGAACGTCCCTGCCTATGAGTCCTAGTGGTGCAGCCGGTTGCTAGGGACCATGCTCAGCAGCTAGGATCACAGTGAGAAAGCATGTGCTGGAACCAGGACTTACCTTGATGTGCTCGTGCAGCTGGGCCTCGTGCTGCCGCGACAGCTGTTCGTGCTGCCTTTGGAACTCTGCGATGAGGATCTGCCGCTGCAGCTGCTGCTTCTGCTTCAGAGCCAGGAGCTCTTGCTGCAGCTGCTGTTCCCGAAGGGCGGGCTCTGCCACAGGCAGCGGGAACTGGTGGTCCAGGCGCAGGTCCATGGGCACCGCGGAGGGAGCCACCTGCAAAGGCAGTGCCGAGGCCACATCCACTGCAGAGAGAGCACAGCACAGAGCATGGTCACTGCAGGCCACAGAGTCCCTGCCTGAGCAACTACCCAGACCCTTAGCAAGCAGCAAGGGGTATCCACATGCTGAAGGACAGTTCACATTTCAGATGCCACTCCCCAACTCTTGCCCAAAAGGTTCACAGTGCAGGACTTAGCAGCCTATGCGAGGATCTACTCTTCAAGTACAAAAATCTCATCCATCATGAAGGTGAGACCAGGACACATTCCTACGCACTGCCCCCTGCTCTCTCACAGGATGCTACTGTAGGCCCACCACCTTTTCTGAAAGCAAGTTTGAAAATCACAACGAGAAAAGGGAAGAAAGGCTCTGGAGAGGGTTGAACAGTACTAATATTGAGGCTGATTGCGGTGTCACTTCCTCCTTCTCTCCAAGTCACTGAAGAACTGTGTACTGGAAACACAGAACACTGTGTGCCACAGAGTGGTCCAGATAGATGCTCAGGACGAGGGCCTGTTTCCATGGCGAAGCGAGTGCCCTTCTCAGCAAACATATTATATTTATTGGCTGCAGCCCATGGAGTGCCTCCGAGCTGACCTGCACAGGCACATGCATGAGTCGGGTCTGCTGCATAGAACCCACGGCCTCTTCTAGGCTCGAAGGCTGGCCGAGGACAGCACCAGTGACTGAGATTAGAAACAGCAGCAGAATCAATCTTTTTTTTTTTTAAATATATTTTATTGGTTTTGTATAGAGAGAAAGGGAGAGAGATAGAGTTAGAAACATCGATGAGAGAGAAACATCATTGATCAGCTGCTTCTTGCACACCCCCCTACTGGGGATGTGCCTGCAACCAAGGTATATGCCCTTGACCGGAATCAAACCTGGGACCTTTCAGTCCCAGGCTGACGCTCTATCCACTGAGCCAAACAGGTTTTGGCAGAATCAATCTTAATGCTGACAAATCAATACCAAATTAAAGTGAGATAAGGAGCACAGGAGGAATGTAAGTTTTCAATTATGGACATCACAAGATAACCCAAGGTAGGTGCTCCTGCTAGGACAGGTTCCTATTTTGAAAATACACGAATACAGGCTTGCACTGTGGCCCAGAGAACCTTCCACAGTGGTACTCAGGCACACTGTGCTCTGCCCCCCTCTCCTTCTCCCCCCGCACATGGACTTTGCTCATAAAGCCCCTGAACGAGCTGAGGGGAGAGCATAGCACAGAGACCCACAGGTTCCCTGTCACTTCCAGAAAGGTCCCCCCTATCTGCTCTAGGCCCATTTCTTCATCAATCAACAAGCACCAGACCTGGGGACCAGGGCAGGAGAAAGAGGCCTTGCCCTGAAGGGGGTTGCAAAACTCAGATGGGAGCCCCAATTCAATAGGCCAGGGCCACCAAGTACCAGTTCTCTTACCTATGGGCTATCTCTGCCTAGACCCTAGCACAGGCCAAGTTATGCATATGACTTGGTCCCAGAGTCTGCCTGGAAGTAGTCACCCCCACTGCACAAATGCCTAGGACCTCGCCCTCAAGCCACAGAGTCCTCCAGTGGCAGATAAACAGTTCCTGAGGAGTCCTGTTCTCCCAGCCTTATTCCCATGGGTTCTGGTAAAAGAGTCCAGCGCATAAGTGGAACCATGCCCTCGGGGCAGAGCATTTCTGGGGTCATTGCCCAGGTGGCAGGTCCCACACTGGCCTTTCTGATAAGGCAAGGTCAGGGAAGACAGGGGCTGAGGGAGAGGCTGGGTGTGTGGAAGCCCTGTGTTCTGACCTCGAGCTGACACAGGCAATGTGCTCTGAGCACCATGTCTTAACAAAAGTGTCATCAGACTGCAGTGCATGGTCATGGAGGCAGAGCCCAAGAAGCTGATAGGCTGGAGGCTGCCCACGATACTCTCACCTCAGCATCTGAAGCAGCTATAACACAGAATGCCCAGAGGGAGACCAACAAATTCTCCACACTTGGTCATTTTAAGAAGCTATCCAATCTCCATTCAACTCTAACAAGGGTAAACACCAGCTGATTGTTTCTCTTCTGTTCCCCAAATCAGTGAAGTGCAACCCCCAACTTTTTAAATGTTTGCATTTTTTTCTAATTGGGTATCAGACTTGACCTATTAAGAGGTTTTTATTTGATCTTTATGTGATAAAATCTATATAAACTGTGTTTTCATGAACAGGCCCAGGGAAGAGTGGTATCCCACCCACCCCCATCACATACAACTGAGAAGACTATTTTATTAATCCTCCAGCTTTTTTGTTTTGATCATTTTGTTATGAAAATATAGCAAACTGGATAAACAGGGTAAATAATACCAGTTAAAAAAAAAAAAACTCTCAATATCTTCTCCCATTTGCTTCAGCCTTTCTCTGAAGGAATAAAGTCATATGAAGGGCAGGGAGGAGAGCTTAGTAAAAAAACTTAGCAACAAGGGGACTTGACACCATGAGGGGATTCAGGTTATGTGTTTAGAGGAGTGTCACTGTCACCTGTGAACCATGCTGAGTGCTCCCAAACCTATCGCTACTGACCATCAGCCTCACAGGTTCCCTCTTCATTCACCTATGAGATCCAAAAGTTATTGTCCATTAACCTGCTAACCTGCCTCATTACTTCCTAGATTACAGGTGAAGTATGTGACAGACTTCTCAGGTGAGTTTGACTTTGCTTTTGAAGGACAGACCTGACCCTACCTTTCTGGGTTACACACACACGGTCAATGTTTTAGAGAGAACTCCTGGGTCTATGTTCAGAGGTAGGAACAACCTACAGTGTCTCTCACACTCTGCTTGTCTGGTTAAACAGTGCTTTTTAGCTTCACTAAATAACCACTGAGAACTAATGAATAAACAGCACCTACATTTTGTGAGCACTGTCACCTTGGTGGCCATATGGCAGGGGAGGTCAGGTATGACCCCACTTAGAAGATGTGGCAAGGTGACCTGAGACCCTATGCAGCAGCAATGCCATTGCTGACAGGCTGGACCGAGGTCTCATCACTGCCCATTTAAGCTCATCCTCTCCCTGTTTCTAATTTTCCATAGATGGGCAGTGGGGGCATCAGAAACGTCCCATAGTTAATCTCTTAAAACTAAACATAGCCCTGATTGGCGTGGGTCAGTTGGTTGGGTATGGTCCTATGCACCAAAAGATTGTTGGTTTGATTGCCAGTCAGGACATATGCCTGGATTGAAGGCTCAATCTCTGGTAGGGGACATGCGGGAGGCAGCTGATCAAAGTTTTCCTCTCTCATCCATATTTCTCTCTCCCTTTCCCTTCCTCTCTCTCTAAAAATCAACAATAATAATAAGAAACAAGAACATAAAATAAAGGGTTCCTATTTTATTAACCATACTTGTGATGGGCCACCATGTCCATGCACGTTTATCTGATGCTAGTGTGTGGGGCCTCCTGCTTCACGCTGGGTGCTTAGTGTGCGGGGCCTCCTGCTTCATGCTGGATGCTGGACACAGATCCAGGCCTATAATGGGACACCAGATTGGTGTGTGTGTGTGTGTGTGTGTGTGTGTGTGTGTGAGGGAATGGGGCTGACGAAGGCCCAGAGAAAGCCTATGAGGGGCTGCATCTCCCTGACACGGAAGAGGAATCATGAGCAAGGAACCAGGGGTCCGGGAGCATGTGTGGGGGTCATGGGGACTCTGAGGCAGAAGAGCTCATATTCCTTGCCCTGTGGCTGCCCCCTGGGCAGGGAGGCAGACGGTGTACGGACATGCCAGGTTGGGGGAGTGGCTGTAGCTGTCCCAAGCCCTGTCCTGCACACCAGCTGCTGAGAGAAGTCACAATCCTCATTCATCCTAGCCTCCAGCGGGTGCGTCAGACAAGACTTGTACTGATTCAGTATCAAAAACTAGCTGAAATGCCATGAGTTCCCAGTAGAAGTTGCTAGTGCCTCTGACCCAGAGCGCCCTGAAGAAAACAATCAAACCTTCTCTATTTAAAAAATGCAGCACCAAAACAAAAAAGCCTGTATTCCCATGAATATTTTATGGTGGAGAGAAAATTGCTTGTATAGGTTATGCCATGAGAAATACATTAACACAATCAGACTCGTGACGTCAGCAGAAGCACAAAGAGCACATTCAAGGCCCAGTAAGAAATGCAGGCTGTGCTGTTCTCAACCACAGAGAGAAGAAATCTGGGGTACTCTGTTTCTTTATTTAGTAAGTGATCATAAAGGACACTGTCACTTTCCATGGTTAGGTCCTCTCTTCACACACCATGCCATGCTATCGTATAGACGCGAAACACAGAGAAGCACTATTCCTCAGAAAACCCGGCCAAAGTTCAGGGTCCATTCAAGTGAAGAATGAGTCATTCAAATCCAGGGGAAAATAATAGATATTGAAACTATGTAACCACGATTTCCTCTTACTCTGACATTTTGCCTATCTGGGGAGGTGGAAAAAGTGAGGGGAAAAAAGATGGGGTAAATTAGAGATATAACTGAAAAACATGTTCCCCTATGGCTGTGAAATGTGTTCACACACTGAAAAACATGTGTTGGGATAAAGAGTGATGCCGGCCGAAACCGGTTTGGCGCAGTGGATAGAGCATCAGCCTTCGGACTGAAAGGTCCCAGGTTTGATTCCGGTCAAGGGCATGTACCTTGGTTGGGGGCCACATCTCCAGTAGGGGGTGTGCAAGAGGCAGCTGGTTGATGATTCTCTGTCATTGATGTTTCTAGCTCTCTATCCCTCTCTCTTCCTCTCTGTAAAATATCAATATATATATATATATATATATATATATATATATATATATATATATATTTTTTTTTTTTTTTTTTTTTTTTTTTTTTTTAAGAGAGTGATGCCAGAGGCCTTTGTGCTCTGCACATCACATGCCCGCCCAATATTCTAACTTTGTCAGGTAGCCCCTTACTTTTACTTTTTATGTGTTTTTATTTTTACTTTGTTAATCCTCACCTGAGGATATTTTTCCATTGTTTTTTAGAGAGAGTAGAAAGGAGGGGGAGAGACAGAGAGAAACATCC